CCCCCCCCCCCCACTTCCCCTCCCCTTCTCCCCGCCATCTATCTCGGTCACGAATGAACACCCTCCCTTAAGGCTGCATCTGTCAGTTTGTATTGGGTACAGTCACTCTTATTGAATTTGAGTCATTGGGAGTGAGCTGATGTATTAAATGCTTTTCAGGCAAATTCTCCATTATCAGCCCATCATGTTCGTCAAAATGGCTTGGTGCCACACCGATTTGATCCTGCACCTGTGCCAAATGTTTAGTCAATGCGTTCCGTGTGGGAATCCCAAGAACTTGAAGGCAAAGTGTGTTTTTTATGAAGCCGCTGGTAAAAGGGGAGGAGTTTGCTACTGGTGCCAGATGGACAAAATCAGGCCTGGACATGAAAATGAGGAGCAGGTGAAGAGGCAGAGTGAAGGGTATGAAGCGCAGACAGTTTGCGGTTTGGGTAGTGGGGGTCTCGTGCTGTTAAGGCATGAAGGAGGAATCCGTCAGAGGCTACATCAACAAGAATCCAAACAGCACTAGATTACAAGAGACAGGGCGTGTCTTTCTGCGCATAATAGACCTACCTTGGCAGTGTTTGCTTTATGATAGAGATTATTTATGTCTCTTCAAGGTATGCGGGGCATCTGTAGCAAAAAAGAGGCGTGTGTGGCCTTTGGGAATCAAACATCTTTGATGTCGCTGACACCTGTTCTCCCGCTTCTTTATTTTATTTTTTTACAGTGCCTGGAGCCCTGCAAGGAATCCTGGGACCTGAAGGAAAACCAATGCCAGGATCTATGCGAGGTATGTCGTTACATGTACACAGTAGTTGTGCTGCCTGATTGAGCACATTTAAAAGCACAGTAAGGAATTGCCTGAGGTAGAGCTGTTACATTGAATCTAATAACTCACATAATTGGATTACAAAATAAATCGACGTCAAATCTCGGCCTCCGAACTTCGCAGGAATCATTTTTCCACGCTGACTAATGTTACAGCAGTCACACGCACAACTCAGGGGAAGAAATAAACTGGCATGATGCAGAGATGGGAAATCCAGGTCCAGAAAGTAGAAACTATGCCAAAGTTGCATTAGCCACCAGCGCTTCGACTCCAACTTTTTTTTTTGAGCAGACCCGGTCTGAACCTTCTACAGTAGTACTAAATTTATCAAATAAACACAAATACAACAAACCATTTGTTATAAAAAGAGTCACGTTCATTAATATTTCACCAAATGGTATGAAAAATAAGGTAATGAATAAAAAAATTTTCCTTTTCTATGTTTTGCGTGAAGGGCTGAATGAAAGTTGTTTCCTCATCACTCCATAGAGATTTAATGCAAACATGAGGATCCCTGACTTGTTTTTTCCTCCTGCTCCTCCCCCACAGCCACTCTTTCCCAAGAAGCACTACGAGTGCCTCACCAGTTGCGAGTTCCTGAAGTCCATCGAGGGCGTGAAGCAGGGCGACTGTCCTGCCCCAGAGAAGGCCAGCGGCTTTGCAGCGGCCTGCGTGGAAAGCTGCGAGGAGGACGGAGAGTGCTCGACCGTTAAGAAATGCTGCTCCAATGGCTGTGGCCATACCTGTCAGCTCCCCAAGAACCTGTACAAAGGTAAACGAAAGAAACGAAAAAAAGCTTTTACTGGGGCTTGGAAATTCGTATCTTGTGAGGTCGGTATTTGAGAAAATGTGGTCGTCACCAGTCCTGAATATTCATATTGTTATTCTACTCCAGCATATCGCTCCAACAGTTGTATTGTGCCACTTGAGTGGGTTGAGTGAGTTGTTATGTTGCGAAGGTACTGAGTTGTTAACTGAAACACCGTCGCACATCCGCTCTCAGCACATTGCTGTTGTCGGTCGCTCAAGGCCAAAACAGAGGGCAGCGGACAATACGGTCGCATCGATTTTCGAATGGGCTGCTTTTAATCACACTTTGGCAACAGTACACACGCAGTCACTGTGCTCAGTAATGACCGGCAGGTGCACGCACTCTGGAATGCCAGCGCATGGACGCAGATGGTGGAAAGATCCTGAGAAAGAGAGAGAGAGAGAGAGAGAGAGAGAGAGAGAGAGAGAGAGAGAGAGAGAGAGAGAGAGAGAGACTCCAATGGTGGATGTCATGCCCCAAAAGGTGAACAGAATGTTCATGTGGAAAGATGAAAAGAGCGCAAACCTTGGAACATTCCATTGACCCGGTCAATGAAAACCATCCAGTGTGTTTTGAAGACCTTCACGCACGGGCTCGCCTGTGCCGTCATTGAAGGGAGCGTGTGACAGCTCGCCGGCGCGTTTACTCCAAATTACGCCGACATTACATTCCGGCGTTCCATTGAAATTGTTCTTGTGGCCTCTCTGTGTCAAAGGTCTAATTAGTCGCTCATGGTTTAAAGGGTATAATTGTTTCTATGTGTGTACAAGCGGCTCATGTGTATGCGTGTGCAGTCATTACCGTGATGATCCGTGATACTGGAAGCTATTAGCAAACACAAGCAGAGTGAAATGGAGCATTTCCCCCTGTGACATCACTCAGATGTGTCCAGGTGTGCCTGAGCATTCCTGGACCCCCAACGGGCTTGTGATAGGCAGCAAAGCCCATGTTTGTATCGAATAGCATGTCATAATATTTTCCATCCATCCATCCATGCCGCTTTATCCTCACAAGGGTTGCGGGGGGTGCTGGAGCCTATCCCAGCTGTCTTCGTGCAGTAGGCGGGGGGAGACCCTGAACCGGTTGCCAGCCAATCGCAGGGCACACAGAGATGAACAACCATCCACACTCACACCTAGAGGAAATTTAGAGTGTTCAATCAGCCTGCCATGCATATTTTTGGAATGTGGGAGGAAACCGTAGTACCCGGAGAAAACCCACGCAGGCCCGGGCAGAACATGCAAACTCCACACAGGGACGCCGGAGCCGGGATCGAACCCACGACCTCTGTACCGTGAGGTCGACGTGCTAACCACTGGGCTACCGGGCTGCCCATCATAATATTTTGCCAATGATAAAGTAAGTGTGCAATAATCGATGTGCTGGAATAAAACACCTCAATAATAATTCACAATGTATGTTAGTCTGGGCGACTGACTGGCGACCAGTTCAGGGTGTCGTCCGCTTTTCGCCCAAAGTGTGCTGAGAAGGGTCCAGCACCCTCCCGCAACCCTGTTCAGAAATTGGATGTCTGGATGTTAGTCTGGCTTGTTCGAAATGGCTCAGTGTAAAGCAGGGGTGTCGACTCATTTTTGTCGCGGGCCACTTTTGAGTTACGCCGCATAAAATGATGTGGTGGGCCGGATCTGGCCCCCGGGCCTTGAGTTTGACACCTGCGGTGTAAAGCTTGTTGTGGCACAACCTAAATGTGCCACTGGTAAAATGAACTGGAAAAATTACAGCAAATATTTTCTAGTCTCGTGTTGGTCCTTTGTTGACCTGGATATCACATTAAACCAAACCAGATGTTTTTTTATCCATCGTTCTGTGCATCACAACAGCTCATCCTGCAGTATTCAGACACAACCACTACCCTCATCTATATTCAGATGTTTTATTTGGCAACGCTCAGTCGCTTTCCTTGATTAATGACTTCATGGCGCAACTCTACATTCCCAAAACATGCACGGTTAGTTAATTGAAGACTATAATGAATGATGAATGCTTATTTTCCTATATGTTCCCTTCAGTTGGCTGGCGACCAGTCCAGGGTATACTTCAGGTCGTAGAAAAGCCATACAGAACATGGATGGCTGGACCATAAGAGAAGACTTAATAACTTGATAAAAGTTTAGTAATCCGTGCCCTATACTGATGCGACCTGAATGATCACCCTTCATATTAATATGATGGGGAAAAATGGAGCGTAAAATGTCGATGTCAAAATGATTACATCGAATGTAATCCTATGAAAGTTAATTAGCCTATCCGCCGTCCTCCGCCTGCGTAGTGTTTTTAATTCCACTGTCTGTGATTAGCGCAGTTTGTTAGCGGTGGAAATGATTATTGCTGGCACGATTAAGACATCAACGGACCCCCCTCTGCCCCCCACTACCACCACCCCCACCCAAATGGCACGACAGTAGGGTTACGTCACGTTGCCTGGAGTAAGCACGCGGGGCCATTGAAAGACGAACGTTGTGTGATTGTTGGGAGCGAGCCCGATTCGAAAGTTATCTTTGGAAGGCGTAAAGCTGCGAGAAAGTGCATTTGATACCCTCCCACATTTTGCGGAAGAAGCCAGGCAGCAAGCACAGATGTGCGCTGGTGTGGTTTCGTGTGTCTGCACCGGGAGGACTTGGGTGACTTTGTGAGAAGATGAGCTCAGGCCGAGGGGAAGGGAGGAATGCTGCGGTTACCCAGGCGCACGTCGTGGCGCAGGAAATGTGACACGTCGGTCGACTGGCGCACACAAACACACGCAAGCCACGGAGCTGTGAAACCGCAGCGCAATGACCCCCAGCTGTACGCATGTACGACGCTGTTATCGCAGGGACTAAACAAAAGACTCCGCGGGCCGCTCAAGGGGCCCTTTCTTCATCTTCCAGCATGTTCTTCCAATCCCCTTTTATGAGATGCAATTAGATGAAATGCTGTGAAGTCAAAACACGGTCTTGATCACGCTGCCCACCAACAAGGGCTGCGGTAGCCTTGAGCGTGTCTTGGACGCCGGTGGTCCAATATAATGTTCTAAAGGACTTGACGGCTTACTGACGATGCGGTCCAATCCCTATCTCATTATCAGCAAAGCCGACGCTCCTATCTTCTACTTAATGGCAGCGCATTCGGTATTGGATGAGCATTCGGTTGACCTTCTGCACTTCGTAAAACTCCCATTTAACCGAGAAGAGCTTTTGCAAGACTGAATGCAAGTGCAGTGATGCAAGTGAACATGCGTGTGAGCAACCGCTAAAACACACCACTGCGGCCAGAAATCTTACAATCGATCACAGTGTAGAGCACAGGTGTCAAACTCAAGGCCCGCGGGCCAGATCCGGCCCCTCCGGGTCATTTTATACGGACCGCGAAAGTAACTCATGTGTGTCAACTTGCTTAAATCTGTACCGAAATGTCAAATTGTCATGTGTAACAAATAACATTGAGATTTTGCAATAATTCTGTCACCCTGTTTACACTCACTTGAACAATAATTGAACAAACTATTAATTGAACAAACTATTAGAATTGACTTGTGCCCCACAGAGAGACTGACCAAAAAGAATTTTCCTGAAATTAGGTGCAAACTTTTTTTCCCAATCACAAACAGGAAAAAAAAAGCTGTCCCACAAACTTGCAAAAATGACTCAAAATATCAAACCTGTTCGAAGAGCTTCTTCGAAAAGGTATACGGGCCAAATCACGAGACAAAAGGCTCCACGAAAGCAAGAAGGTGAATTTAAAGGCAATATCGGCAATCCTGCTCTTGCTTCAGGTTTATTCCTATTTGACTCACATTCACTGAACTCACTCTGCGTAATATATTGTGACAGGCTCTCAAATGAGGCGATGAAACCATCAAAAGTACTTTGACACGTGCACCTAGCGTAAAAGCCATAGTCGAGTCCCTATCTCCTGTTCACCGGAGGTGACTGTCTCATCTTTGACTTCATGACAGCAAATGGCTGACCTCCAGCTCGTGACAAAGCTCACGTTTTCTGCGCACAGCATGCGGAAGGCTGAATGTAGTGATGCAAATGAGCAGCTGCTAACACACCACCGTGACCAGTAAAGTCTCAAAGAGTCACTGGCTATGAGTACGACCAGGTACCCCATCTTCATCTCAGTACGCCTTGCTAATTCTTGCCAATGAAAACCAGACGTTACCCGGCATTGTTTGTATTACCTGCTCAGCCAGGGTTGTGGGTTGAGCTGATACCGCATCGATATGTAAGCCACGGCTGGTTGCTCATTGGTTGAAAGGATTTGTGGTCATCACTGTAACATTTGAGGGTACCAAGCCTGATAAATCAATAGATCAGCCCCCCCCCCCCCGAGACAAAATTTGTGTCCTTATCGTGAAGGTGCAGAGAAGTAAATGCAAGAAACCGTCATTCTACTTTGTTGATCATTCTGACTGATGCACTCGATACTGTGCGTTTATTTTTTTTTTTTGCAATTTGTAATATAGCGTTCTAAAGTGCTTGACAGCTTATTGACCAACAAGTCCAATCTCAATCTCATTATCACTGCTCCCATCTCCTACTCCAGAGGAAGTATATTCAGTCTTCGATGAACATTAGTCTGACCTCCTGCGCTGAATCAAGCTCACACACACATCCACTCTGCGGCTTCAACTCAAAGGCCCGATTGCAAAGTGCAGTGACGCGAGTGAACTTTGACGTTCGCAGCTACTAAAACACACCACCGCGGCCAAAAGTGTCACAATGTGTCACAGTCAAGAAAAGAAGCTATTGACCCTCAGCGTGGATCCCAACTATTGCAGTGAGATCATGTCTCGTTCTCAAATGCCCGTGCTGCGTTTTATGTATTTTCGAAGTGTCTTTTGCGCAAATGAATAAAATGCAACGTTAACTTCCAGACCGCTGTGCTCACTGGCGTGTCTTCCGCAGGAGTCCCCCTGAAGCCGAGGAAGGAGCTGGTGTTTGTCGAGCTGCCCTTGGGCCAGCTGGAGATCCGCTGGTCATCCAAGTTCAACATTTCGGTGGAACCCGTTCTTTACGTGGTGCAGCGGCGCTGGAACTTTGGCATTCACCCCAGCGAGGACGATGCCACCGAGTGGGAGACGGTCGTGCAGGTGGGTAACCTACATAAGGCTAGACAGTAACGCCCCACATATTCGTGGTTCACTCTTCAACTTTTCCGGCTGAAGATTCCACAACATTCCGCCAAAGTCCAGTCTAAAATAGGAAAGTAGTACTGTACATGAATTGATGTTAAGTATGTTATAGTGATACAGTGGTTTAAACAATACCGTATTTTCCACACTGAATTGTGAGGCGCACCTTCAATGAATGGCCTATTTTGTAATTTTTTTTCATATATTGGACGCACTGCATTATAAGACACAATCTACAATGCATCCACTAGATGGAGCTACGCTCAAGGAAATACCAACAGAACACTACACGACACCCTGATTTATATAGCGACGATCAGATGTCAGTAAAACTTATTTAAAAAAGCAGCGACACAGTTCACTTCACCAACAGCAAGTTATAACATTGACTCGTTAACGTTAATGTCTTGCCGCTGCTCTATTTCCGTGATCAACTGCGAAACCGATCGCCTTAAGTTTGAACTCTGCGTTGTAAGCATGTCTCTAGCAAGGAGCCATTTTGGGGTTGACATATTACCGTAATGACCATATACAAGGTGCATCGGATTTTAAGGCGCGCTGTGAGCTTTTAAGAAAATGGAAGGCTTTTAGGTGCGCCTTATAGTGCGGAAAATACGGTAATACAGTCAAACCTTGGTTTTCGAACGTCTCGGTTCTCGACCAATTCGGTTTTCGACCAAAAATTTCCAGTGTATAACATTTTTAGTGGCAGCCTCAACTGCCCTTGTTTGCTAATAGCAGCAGGGTTTCCATCCCTATTACCTACTGTAGCAATATACATAAATCCAAAATAGATCCAGGCAGGCTTTTTGTTGTTTCTTGTTTCCACCAAGGGGTTTGCTTCCATATCAATTAGTTTCCATCGTAAAAAAAATTTCACCCAAAGCAGTCCACTTCTCAGTCGAAGGGACTTTAGGGTTCCAGTGCTGGTTGTACACTTCAGAACATTTTTGAGTGGGAAGAAAACATGTTTAGTGAGATGTCTAATCACAAACTATCCCTTGCCATTGATCGGTGACCAGTCCATGGTGAAAACAACGCCACTCGGCCCCAAGTCAGGTGGGATAGCTCCAAGCTCCCCCGATAACCCAAATGAGGACAAGCACTACAGAAAATCGATGGGTGAAACAAGCCGATTCAAGGTTGACTGATCTGAAATGAACTCTGCGATAGCAAACTGAAATGTAAACGCAAAGGTGTTAACGTGGCTTTGGTACGTCACGTGCTGCAGCTGTGAACGTGCGGCGATGCTCTGACGGACGTGTCCGTACAGTTGCCCATTCCTCAAAGTCACCTCGTCTTTTGAAACCTTCGCTGAGGAGAAACACGCGGATGACTGATGTGCCAGCAAACTCACACAAGGGGCTCTGACCCGGCGTGAACCCTGACCCCTGCTGTTCTCTCTCTCCCCATCTGTCCCTCAGACTGCCGAGGAGCGGGTCCAACTGGCCGACATCAGAGCCAGCAGATGGTACCAGTTCAGAGTGGCCGCGGTCAACGTGCACGGGACCCGCGGGTTCACTGCGCCAAGCAAACACTTCCGCTCCACTAGAGGTGTGTACGTAAATATGCACGTGTGTTTGTGTGTGCTTGTTGTGTGGTCTTTCGGACTAAAGTGTCAGTTCCTGCTTGACACCCGCTGACTTCCATTTGTTGTGCTTAAGACCTCGGAGCTGGTGGAGCTTTTCGGATTGATTTACCTGCTCATTCCCTTGTCAGTGTTTTGGTTCAACTATCAATTTCTTTTTTAAAATCAAAACATTAAAAAAAAAAAAAAAAAAAAAAAATCTGCTCCATACATGATAGGTTAATAAATCCCTTGTGCTGCAGTCGATGTAAATAATTTTATATAGCGCAACATACAATTTTACAAAAATTGTAAAACTATTATTCCTGAATATTTATTTTACTTTCAACCACTTGACATGTTCAGTGGCATCAGCGCTATACATACATATATAGTTCTGATTTTTTTCTTGGTATTTTTGCCCTCTATGGACAATAAAAGCGGTACTGTGCTATGACCAAAACTTAAAATATATCTATACATATAAAACATGAATTGGAATATTTCATATCACACAATTTGTATGCCTTGTCTTTGATTTAAAGATGACAACACGCAAAAATCTACAAAAATTGTAGAAATTGTAACATAAGGGTTTAATTTGACGTCGTGCATTCGCTGTATATGAAAAAAACATGAACAAATTATGTCCGCAAATGCAAACTGCACTGGTTCTCAAAAAGTTATGAAGGTGTACCGAATGTTATGGCCAATGAGATCAACAAATTTGAAGTGAAATTGAATAAGGCATTTGAGTGCTCAGAACCTTTCGAGTGCAGTCAAATGCGATTACAGGAGCCCCCCAGCCCCCCATCCCGCTTCTTTACAGTTCTGCGTAAATGTAATATGTCTAACTTAGACGGGTATATCAGCTCCAAAATGAAAGCAAATGCAATCTTGGCTCCCAGTGAAGTGACACAACTTTTTTTAATTGCTGTAGATCTTTGCTCGAGATTAGCGTCATGTCGCTGCCTCGTTGCATGACACTAAACATGTTTGTTTGACATGTTGGCAGGGCTGTGCACTGAACATTTTTTTTTTTTTTAAACAGAGATACCTCATGTAGATTAGCGAACCGCACTGTGAGTTATCGTCTGCTTTCTCAACTGAAAATTCCTCAAGAAAAAAAATGTTGAACAGTGGAAACCTGCGGAAATGTGACTTTATACGTGAAAACTGGAATGCCTTTAGTTTCTTTGCATTCTGATCACACAGGCCTGCGAGACCGACTGAAAATGTCTTTTTCATGCCAAGCCAGTAAATGACAATATCACAAACTGCCATCTTTTGAATATATTGAATATTTGTCAGTGTACATGTGAGTAAGGAATTGGGTTAGTAAGTGTATTGGTCTGAGATCTAATCTTAATTCCAACCTTCTGTATGTCATATATCATAATTTCTGGTATTTTGGTTTAAAATACGAATACAGGCACTTTTGAATGATTCTTTTTGTGCTCAGGAGTGGGGGGTTGGGTCAATTATTTGGCCCCAGGAGCCAGTCCCTACTCCGTGCGAATATTTTAAACATTACGTTTAATCGATTAATAGGGAAACATGTCCCGGTAATCGTTTGCCTGACCCTTTCTTTTTAAGAGGCCAAAAGCCAAGTACATATGTGGCTGGTATTACATGCGTGTTGCCTGAGTATGTGAGCGCGTTGACCCGCACTGTCAATCCTTCATCATGCATGTGCTCCCCAGAGCGTTGTGGATGGCGCTCCGATAGAGCGCGGCACCAGGTGGGGAAAAAGGGATTCCGCTCAGGAGGGTGGAATAGAAAGCGATCCCCAATCAGGCCAATCAGTGACAGGACATTGATAGATTGATGGGAGCTGTCATGGCTCTGATGAGCTCCCGGACGTTCGTTCAGAGCATTGCTATTTACATAGCCTGCCCTGTATCATCTGATTGCAATTTTGCCCCTGCTACACTTTTTGTTTGGGCAATTTGTAAGAAGGGGGAGGCTTATTTGTCTTGCGCCGCCAACGTCAGCTGGTATGCAGAGCCCATGTGTCCGTGTGTGTGTGTGTGTGTGTGTGTGTGTGTGTGTGTGTGTGTGTGTGTGTGTGTGTGTGTGTGTGTGTGTGTGTGTGTGTGTGTGTGTGTGTGTGGAGCAGCTTAAATGTGTTTCAGGTGGGAGAGGGAAAGAGAAAGGAAGAGAGAGAGAGGAGTCATTTTCTCATTATTCCTTGCTCTAGTGCCTGGCAAGTGGCACTGCCTATCTCTCTTTTGCTTTCCCTCTCTCTCTCTCTCTGACATCAGAGGCAAGGAGCAGTACAGCAGCAGCCCTGTATAAAGTACAGCATGCAATTGCAGCTAGCGATCAGAGCTGTTGAGATACATCTCTATTTTGTTCAGAGGAGCATGGCTGTCAACAACGTTGTACATGACACCAACCACATTGCAATTTTCAACTCACTGAGCAAGGAGCTGCACTTTGGCAAATACTGAACCCATCAAAAAAAGAAACCTCAAGCTTTTCAAGACCACTCCCAGTTGAGGTTCACTGCCATGCTGTAGAAAAACAAGAATTACACATTTTTAAAACTTTTAACAAAAGAAAAACACCTTTATGAAAAGTCTTAGCTTAGCTTAATGATAACTGACAATAACACGCTAGCGTGCTAGCAGTTAGCATTGACAGTTGCGGATATTTGAACATAAATGGTGAACACATTTTGACGGATTATATAAAAATACTCACCGGCCAATATTCTTGATCAGCAAATCAACGGTCTTAGGACAAGATGGATTCTCTGGGTTTTGTAAACTCACAAGTACGGTGAGAATTCACTTTGCAGGCAAGGTTATTTTGAAGGTACTATTGTATTATTTCATTTAGGCAATGTAGCACAGTAAAAGTGATTATCCAAAAAAAAATTTCAACTAAAGTACAGTCGTGAAGTATTTGTACTTGATTACATTAGAAGACTTCTGGCAAGTGGCCCCTCCTCTTTCTTTCTGACATCAGAAGCAAGCTATAGCACAGCAAGAGGAGCGCATCGACTCCGCTCGCACATTCTTCACAACGCTCTGATGCCGATGCCAAAGCTGGCCGCCATGTGTTTGTTCACCCCTGACCACTTGTGCTGTCGTAGCCGGGATATGACACCTGTCATAACATCTCACAGTGCATTGTCAGCGGAGGGCTAATTACTTTACATAGTGTCATACCAGTCACCCCTCCACTCCGCAGCCAAAGTGGTGAAAGGCATTTTGGCTCCAAATGTACTCCACCTTAAATCAGACTCGCCCGAAAAGAACCTCGGCGTCTTAAACGTCTGCAGATGTGTGAGATTTGTCACCCCCGTGACAGCGTTTGCTTCTTTGTCCTCCAGACCCGTCCGCCCCGCCACGCCCGAGCAGCCTCTGTGTCACCAACGTGACGCAGGGAGATGAAGGTCTGGTGACAGTTCGTCTCAACTGGAGCTTGCCAGAGGAGCCCGACATTCCCATACATCACTACAAAGTGTTCTGGAGCTGGACTGTGCCCACCAAGTCGACGGTTCCGTCCAAGAAGAGGAGGAGAAAGACCACCAACGGGGTAAACGCTCCCTCCCAATCGTCCCTGCCTCAACCCACCCCCTCATCATTTTCCGCTTTCCGACATTATCTCACTCAAGGTCCCCTCCTCGGGATTCTTCCGTTGTTGCATGCGAAGCCATCAATCACAAACAGAGTCAGCGGTTCTGTTTGTTGCTTTTCCTTCCTCAGACTGATTGAAGAACCCTTCAGCGCGGTTACGCTTTGAAGAAGGACACGTTAATTGTGATTCATGCAGTATTTCCACAAAGATACATTATTAGGTCGTTATTTATTGTACTTCAGACACTAGAAGGATGCTAAAAATGGCTCTGGGACTTTATTGATGTCGACTGGCAGCCATCCCTTCTGTTGCTCATGGTGCCTGTTTCTGTGGCTTTATCACATGTAAGCATTTTATCTGCACATACAACAAACGCGTACAAATTGTGAACGGATCAAGATAATGTGATTGCCATTATCGTATCCACTCGGCATTCGGACAGAGACAGTAAAAAGCAGGGAATGAAAGCAGGCTATATGGTCAGAATGTAGCCTCAACTTGTGTCACTGTGACAATCATGCAAAAAAATGTGATGTAAAACGATCCATCATTTTTACAGATAAACTGGTGCAAATAAATATAGAGGGGGGGCCTCGGTTTTGGATGGAACGCACATACAACGTTTCGGGGTTACAAACTGCATGTAATGAACTCGTTTGCACAGCGGTGCAAGAATAAAGTAGCGTAATATGCTAAATCGCTACACCAGACAACCACGCGTTGATTCCAGCGCTGCTTCTTTGTTTATAATACAACACACGTGATTGGCAATGAATCGATTTCAAGCTGTAGCTGACATTGCAGAGCGATATAGTTGACTAGTCGACTAGTCCGCTCAACCCCTAGTAGGGATGGAAGGCCGTCAAGAAACGTGGACACCCTGGAACCTCTTCCAGGGTCAGGGTCAAGCATGTACGAAACCGGAAAACGGTGCTACTGAAAGAGAGTCTGCTTACGTTACATATTTTGTATTTTTAAAAAAATAATTATTTCTTTAATTTTATTTATTTATTTTTTACTACCACCCCTGGTTGAGGCTGCTCCTTGCTGAACTAACGCAAAACTTCCAAAGTAAAAGCAAAACATACAGAATTGAGCTCCGGTCGAGTACAAAGAGGTTTCACGTGATGCCGCTGTTTTGTGTGACTTACAGGCACGTTTTTTCCACAAGCGATAAATTTAAAATGGTCCGATCTTAGAGGCTCCGTTATACGGGAACACCTTTGTTTACCATGATAGTTTCCAGGCTATGAATGGCACGCAGTTGAATAGTTTGTGCAGCACTGTGCGAATGAGGTCGTTTTCTGGCTGTACTTAATGCTCTTCTTTTTTTTTTTTTTTTAGGGGGAGGGGGGTGTTTTATATTTATGCCTACAATTTTTTTCCATACAAATACTGTAATATTTCTTGCCTATGACATTATTGTAGGTTAGGGAGAGACTACGATACGTTCCAGCCTCGATACAAGCTGCCAAAGGAATGAAACTCCATCATAAACTGAAAACCTCCTGTTATGTATCGTGTCTTCATTGATTAGACCTTGCTCGGATCAGTTGGTCACCCCCCCCCCCACCCTAAATCATAGAGATCATCCGCTCATACTACAGCACATTGCTCCTTCTATAGAATGTCGATCGCTGTGGAGGATTTGGAGCAGTTTTGCCAAGCCTCATAATTTAAAACCGAGATACTGAATTCGATTTAAAATCATTCTCGTAAATGAGTAGAATAAATCTATGGCTACATGCAGTATTGGTTATTTTCTCTGACATATACACAGACTCCGTGATGCTGTGTAGATTTCTGGCAAAAGCCATTCTGCTTCATTTTTCTGGAATTCTTGGTTGCGGCTACCAAATGGACTGTGACAAACCACTTTAGGAATGAAACAACGACTCCCAGCGCAGTAATTTGACTAGTCTGAGTCTGTATTATTATTTTTTTTCCACTTTTTTTTTTTTTTTTTAGATAAATACGGTGGCATTCTCCAAAAGTCAATCAAGTTTGCCAAATTTATGTTAAGGATTAACCGGTGACAGCAAAGAGGAAGAGTGTGATGATAACCAGTGAGAAGGAAATGGAACTTCAACATTGGAAAGTGTTTGGCTGCTCAGTGCTGTACAATTAAATTTCAATTACAGGAGTTCCTCTGTGTTTTGTTCTGAGCAAGTTTTCACATAAGTTGGAACACGGCACAGTCTGTCACTAACTAAGCTGTTCTAACGCAGTTGTAAGGTCATGGATTTTTTTTTTTTTTTTTTTTTTTGCAGTTAAAACAACCCATAATTCAAAAGTTTTATTGTATTCCACGCTGGAGCTTTCACTGTATGGAATTTTAACACAGTAATCCCATGCTATTTGCATGGGGAAACCGACTGAGCCCTGCTGTGAATCGTGAAAAACTGCTAGTAATTGACACCTCCACTAAAAATTGCCAATATAAACCGTTGAAACTGCCAATACTGTGGAACTTCTAGTTATGAACTTAATTGGTCCATGAGCCCCTTTGTAACTTGATACGTTCATAAATCAAGATAATATTTCCCATTGAAATGAATGAAAATGCAATTTATCCATTCCAGCTCCATAATCAAATTATCTGTACCTTTTTTTTACAGATCTGTGGTTAAAAATAAGTGGAATTTGATATCGAAACGAGTGAAAACACACACTATTATACAGAAAGAAAACGCTTTAAAAAACATAACTATTTATTGCTCATTAATGTAACCAGAGGATTGGAAAAAGGGGAAAAGGACGACAGTTCCAAATTGAAAAGGATTCCTTTATAGACAGTGCTTTGGCAGCCTTAGGGCATTTCAGAAAGAGTGCAAAAACATAAATTGGTTCTTTTTTTTACTTTTTTTTTTTTAACCAAATAGCTGGGCATTGATTCCAACAGAACAAAAACAAGAATAAGCGAATTCTGGAGTAGTGATGACTGTACATACACCGACGACTTGTGATTCTTTTGCATCTTTCATCCATCAGCACAAACACGCAGCGCAGCATGAAAATCATTTCATTAGGGACGCAAGCAGAAAGCCTACTCGTCTAGACAGCGCGCACACACCTGCGGAGAGTCTTCTCCTGAATTAGTTTTTCAAAATGAAGAGCAGATGTGGCACCGAGAGCTGAGACACCAGACACCTATTGACACATGTACTACTGGTTTCCACTTTGGCACCTTCGGGGGCTTCGAAAGCACCCTGCTGGCCGAAGAATGTCAAAACAGGCACGCAGTCAATAACGAGAGCTCATCAAGGCTCTCTGCTGCCAGGGGAATGTAAGAAAGCCAAGCTGGGGTTGGAAACCCCGGGAGGCTGTGACAACACGGCTCCCTCACGAGACCCTGAAGGCTATCTCCTCACCACGAGGAGGCCTTCCTCGGCTCCACATGTGTTCTTCATAAGAAGGGCTTTCCCGCAGGCCTCGTTTTGGCACAGGCTGAGCCTGAGCTTGGATGGTGACAAGCATTTGAGAACGAGTTTTCGCGACACAACTCAAATGCCAGCCGCTGTCTGTCGTTACAGGCCCAGAACTGGGTGGACCTGGAGGCCCTGCAAGTCAACAGCAGCTACACTGTGGAGCTGCAGGCCGTGACGTATTGGGGACAGGTGCGGCTGAAGAGTTCCAAAGCTTTGCTGCAATTCAGCACCACCCAGAATTCCGAATCAGGTAAACACCAAGGGGCTGGGATAATATTTACTCCTTCCTTCAGCTGCCAGACTTGAATGTCTTAAGAGGTGTCGCTGTGACTTTTGTGTTTGTCCAAGAAAGTGGTTGCACTCATTGTCATGCATATGCCCGTCTTGGAGAAGCAAAATCGAAACCTAAAAACATTTTAAAAGTTCATCTGAAGAAGTAAAGTGGTTTTCTGAAGTGTAATTACCGTATTTTTTCGGATTATACTTCGCTCTGGATTATAATTCACACCAGCCAAAAAAATGCATAATTAAGAAGGAAAAAACATATATAAGTCGCACTGGAGTTTCAGTCGCATTTTGGGGGAAATTTATTTGATAAAATCCAACACCAAAAACATACTTGTCATCTTGAAAGGCAATTTAAAATAAAAATAAAATGGAGAACAACAGGCTGAATAAGTGTACGGTATACTAACGTTACATAACTGACATGCCTGGTAATGTCAGTAACGACGTAACATCAAGTATCAAGTGCAATTTATTGAAATTTCCTCCCTCTTCAACAGACAACAGACAACAAGAGGAGCCGCTGCGGGTGCCCGCGCCGCATATTAAGAGTTATTCAGATAACTCTAGCATAAAGAACATGCTAACAAGTTTACCAAACTATCAGTTTCACTCCAAATCACTAAATCCAATGAAATCTTCATCCTCGGTGTCACTTTTAAACCACTCCCCCAACTCGGGAGGTAGACGATGCGCCGCTTCCTCTTCTATGTCGCTTACGTCAGACTCATTGTCGATTTATCAACACCGGCCGAGAGCGCCCTCTTGTGGTTTAATGTGAAAATAACATGTGAAATGACATAATCGTGTGTTAATAATTTCACACATAAGTCGCTCCAGAGTGTAAGTCGCACCCCCGGCCAAGCTATGAAAAAAACTGCGATTTATAGTCCGGAAAATACGGTATGCCGAAAGTCATACACAGTCGAGTATTTTTGTGTCGTATTGAACTCCTAGTTACATGTAACACAGTGTCGGTATGCATGGGTGTTGTTCCCCTAATCATGTGTTATTGTCATTAGACAGTGAACCAGCTGGAATTTAATCCGCATTGAATCCGTCGTGCAGTCCGTTTTGCTCAAATCGCTCACAAGACAATTAATTAAACACACTCAATCAAACTTATGAGGAAGTATGTCCATCCTTAATTGAGATTTGGGAATCAAATGCAAGACACAGCACAATGGGAATATTTTGGGACATGTCAACTTAATAAAGTAAAAAATATCCAGACCGGACGGAAAAAGGACATCTGGTCAAGAATATGTATCGTTTTGCCCTCTCCCAAGTGCCCCTCCAGAATTGTGAAGTGTCATTCATTTTGAGACCAATATGGCTAATACAAGCTGACATTTCTAAGCATACACGCCATTAGCCTGACCACCGGCAAAAGCTTGTGAGTGAATGAACAGAACGAAGAAACATCATACGTCAAGAATGGTTGATTGTTTCTGGAATGAAACGTTATTCAATGTAAAATAACTTTAAATGTAGTGCGACATATTTAAAGCAAACTAAATTGGCAAAGTTTGTGAAGAAGTCGCGCTCTGTGTGATTTTGCTGATCCGTCACTAAAGTCAGTTTTCCTTAGTTTGTTTGCATTCCGCGAGCACAAAATTCTTCTTATTAACTGTTAGCGGACAGACGAGTCCTCAGTGCTACAGGCATACACATTTTTATGTAGTATAGAAGTTGGCTGAATTTGGAATTAAGCCTGTTGGTACCCATCCAGCTCCGGCACATTCATGCATAAAGAACATGTTGTGGCTGCTTGGTTTTGACAAGGAAACTGTTGTCTTTGTGTCGCCACGCTGCGGCCATGAGAGAATCAATGTGGCGTTTCAACTGCAGAAGAAAATATTTCTCATTTCTCCCCCCTAGTAAAATCAGTGCACAAGTCAAAGAAAGAAGAGATACCCCCCGCTGGACCAACATTGGCAAAGGCAAAGCGACCTTCTGGCCCGCTGGAGGTGGGCACACCCTTCTACCAAGATGGCCAGCTGCAAGTTCGTGTCTACTGGAAGAACCGCGGCGGTACGAACAAAATCTTTATTGATTTATAGCTTTAATAAAATCACATTAGCACCCCGTTTAAGGCCAGGAATGATGAATGCCATAATAATGTGTTATGCTTGGCTCTCCTCAGCCAAACAATGGAAGAATCTCTTCATAGTTACCTGATTGTGTAGATGGACTAAATGAATCAATGTGTCTTTGTGTGAGGGCTGAAGCGGGGGCGGGGGTGAGGGGAAGGTTTGGGT